GGAACCTTCTTTGTGAAAAACAAGGTTTTGGAAAAACGAAGAAAAAAATTCACAAAAGAAATCTAATTTCCAAATAATTGTAGGAAATATAAAGTTCAAACTAAGTACAAAAAATCTGCAAAAAAGAGACTCAGAGTGGCGAGCAATATGACCAAGAAGTGAAAATTTAGTTCTACAACAAAGAAGGAGGTGTTGCATTCTTATTGGTGGATCGTTGTCTCATACAACCCAGCAACAGAGTAACTGAGTGAGAAGGGACAAAGCCAAGGAATAAGAACATGCCAATGTAAAAAAATAAGGAAACAAATGTCTGCCAAAAATTAAGGGAAAGTTAGGTAGAGTGCCTATGTAAAATATTTTTCTTCTGTGTAATGACCTTAATCTAAACTATTTTGAATTTCGTTGGTATTTTTGTAAGCCATGAATTTATACAGCTGGGTGTCTGGCCCAGATGGCACCCTTAACGGACGAGCATGTTCAGCAATATGATTCAAACTTGCATCCCTAAAACTGCAAGTAAATTACCCTCACCACCAGGCCAAGCCAAGCTCTGCCTCTGAAAGAAGAAGAATGGAGAAAAGATAATACAAAAGGTTAGTGAGGGTAAGGTTAAGGCATGAAAATTGGGCTTCAGAAAGAGGTACAGAAGATGAAGGACCCAAACCAAACCCTAAGTCTGAAGAAAAAACTCAAAACTGTCTAGGAGGCAAAAAAAAACTGTATCCCGATTATAAGTCAAAGAATAAGTCAATCTGGCAAGGAGGACAAGGCGTGGTGGAACCAGAGTGAAGTTGGAACAAAAATGTTCAGCATAGACTTGGATAACAGGAAAAGGAAGAAAATAATACTCTGAAGAAGGGGCTGAATGAGGAAGAAAAAATAAAGAACAATAAGAAACGAGAGAGAGAGCAAGAAGGTAACATATCTGAGAAACCATGTCAAGAAAAGACATATAAGGTCGAGGTAGATCCACAAAAGCACTAGAAGAAGTGTTAGCAAAGATAGGTGGTGGGAAAAAGACTCAAAATCCTTATGTCACGTATGGGATGCATAAGGGGAGGGATGTTTATGTCAAGTTCAGAAACAGGCCCAGACCTCATGTAAGACTCCACTTCCTGTCATACAATATCTGTCACATCCTCAACAAAGAAGCACTCGATGCCATTGTAGTAATATTTCCATAACAGTGGGGTTCTCTAAGATACTTCCACAACAAAATATGTATGTTGAGAAATCTCTTGCGAGTGAAAAAACACATCTGAACACACGAGACTCAAATAGAAAAGTGATAATTGAACAATCAGTACAAAGGGAGCCAGCTACATTAGGAGGCAGTGGAGAATTGTAGCATGCTCATTTGCATGAAACAGTGCAGCAATACCACATGGAAACGTGATATTAGATGGAAGCATCAAGACTAATGGTGAGCAAAAAAAGCTTGCATATAAAGAGCTGCATTTAATTGGGGAAACTAGATGCAATCGGAAGTTACATATCATACTGGAAACTAACATTAATTCTAAATCTGTAGGTAATATCACTTTTTATGAAGAAATGGTACCAACTACAAATAGTATATGATTCAACGTGTGTCTTTAAATATTTCTCATCAGCAGAAATAAGACAAAAATATATATATAATTTTAAAAATAATACTGGACATAGTTAACATTTACTTCATGAATACATGTAAAATAATTTATGATTGATTACAAAAATATATCAAATTGGACTAGAGTGGTTGCACAAAACTATACTTTGATACCACAATTAAATTGCTGAAACAAAACTTATCACTAGAGTTAGAACTGGTAAATTTTCTTGAGCAAATCTAAAATGGTATTTAAAATCATTGTACCTTTTTGTTTTTTGTTTGATAAAAACTAACTTCCAAGAACTACATATAAATAACAAATCATACTTTGGCCATAATATTTAACACGATAAATGGCAAAAAACTAACACACACACATTACAACCAAGCACAGTATATAATATTACACCTTAATTACAGTTTGAATTATATTTAACCAATTTTACATGCCATGTGAACATTACTGTTACATTTGTTTTCAGTGCTAATTTTACAAACAGATCACTGAACACTGAAAATAGTCTAATTTTAATGAGAAACTTAATATACAAAGCATGTATCTTCACAAGTGAGGTGTTAAATCATGATCACTCTGCACTAGCATAAGGCATCAGTTTCTTTGTATTGTCAAGCACTCACCATCCGTCGGAAACCATATGAACAAAAAGAACTGCTTTGTTGTGAATATGTTTAATAGACACATAATTAAAGTCTGCTCTGATGTCCAATCACTAAATAAGACAACCTTCTGTAATCATTCAAGGCTACTGCTTATTTTTCTTTGGAGGCACATAAATTTCTTTACAGACCCAAAGATCAAGCAGTTTTTTTGCACTTTGTAAATCTTATACTAAAAATAAAATTGTCACATGTTCATATAAACTACAATTCCTTGATATTTGACTATATTGTAATGTATCTCCAGATATTCTTAACATTATCAAGCCCTGTTCTGAGGACCATAGTCCATCAAATACTGTAATCTCACTGGGTGCTAAACCACTAACCCTCATTCTGAATATCTTTCAAGAGGTCTGAGAAGAAACAAATTTTGACACTACTGGCGCTAAGGGCAATGGACAGATTTTCAGTGTACTAAATCTCAGTTACATATTAAATATAAATCCAAAGTCTTCATTATATTTTTTGTATCCTATCAAAGGAAAAATATGTTTTGAGTCTTCTGATTATTTGTAAAATTCTCCTGAACTGTGGGCAGATATTTGCTTCAGAAAGTTTTTTTCAATGGTTTTAACATCTTTTCAGGATACTATTAGATTTTTCAGATTGGAGATCCTGGCTAGAATATGTATCTTCTTCATTTCCTGGAAAAGTCTCACAGTGATCAATTTCTTGTGTATGAGAATTAAGCCCAAAGGACAAGTCCATTATTCTGTGGTCAGGATGTTTCATCACATCTGATGACAACTGCACTACTCCTGTTTCATCAGTGACACTTATCTGAGGATAGATGAACGAAGAAAATGAAATGTTTTCACTCATGTGTTCATTTTTAGTTAGTTCTAATTTTTCAGCATGTTTACAGGTTGAAGATTGGAGCTGACACTGTTCAGTTATATCTTCCTGAATCATGCACAGATTTTGAAAGGTTGTTGGAGAAATGTTATGATGAGGCTGGCCAACTAACTCTTGTAAATGAGGAGCAAGAGAAGGCAAGTTCATAAGAGATTCAGGAAAAGATATTGGAGGGGACACTCTTTTATGAGGTGATGCCATTCCTGTTACTTTGCTGCATGTAGGGGTGTCAATAACTTGGAATGATGAGTAAGTACTGTCAGTTGAACCAAATCCAACAGGGCTTCCTTGACACTGAAGCTGCACAGGACACAGAGTGTAGGTGGAATCACTAGAAGATGACTTATGAATAGGGGATCCAGATATAGAAGGAGGTGAAGAAGTGGACATTTGAATGGGTGAAGTCCTCAACAAAAACTTCTGCTGAACATGAAGCGAGTGACGTCGTTGCAATTCTAGTTGAACCTGAGGATCCACAATACCTGCATGTTTCTAGTTAAAAACAATCATATGAAATATATCATCTGTTTCTACTATTAATACTGTGCTGATTAAATATCATCGTATGGTTGAACAATCTGAGCCTCAAATCTTTTGTGTTATCTTGTAATCATATATTGGAAAAAAAAAGGGCTACCAAAACCAATAACTACTTGATTGAATTACACAGTTAGTCAGGAATCTATCTTTTCCTTTCAATATTGCATTTCCATTACTACAAGTCTCATTATCTACTGTAATCAGTGGCTTAAATATCAGACTAGTAGACATGGATCATATATTGAAATGTAAAACATTGCAGTAATATTTCTAGAAAAATATTCAGAAATAAATAAAACAAAATATAGTTGTTGAACTTATCTTAGTCATATCTTCTCACTCAAATATATCAAATTTTGTTCTTCAAAAAAATCTGTTTGTGGGTAACAATAAAGTATCTTGTGTAGCATTTTAAATTTGTAAATATTCACATCTATTGTGTATATTTAGTGTAATGTACATAAAACCTTATACACAATTACAGTATTTTGTTGAATTATTGTTTTCAGTCATGATAAAATATTGACACAACTAAAATACAAAACTCATTTTATGTCAATCAATTATTAATCACTTCTCCTCTCAAGGTATATTATGGATTACTTGAATTAATATGACTAAAGATTTTAGTTATACTAAACTAACTTCGTTAACACAATAAGTGTATTTAGACCTTGTATCAGGATATTAAAGGGTTGAAAACAAGAGAGGACATTACAAGATAGGAAAACTTAGAGATGTACATGCAGGTAACAACAAAAATTAAACAATAATTTAAGGTCTCATCTATCATTTAACATCCTGATACAATTTTATTATTTTACGAACACAACTTAATTGAACTCGTGTGTTAAACCATTAACAAACATGAAGTTGTATATGCATATTGTTCTAGACTTCAACTATAGCAAGTTGAGCATGATTTTTTTATATTATGAATGATTATATACATTCTTCCCGAAAACATGATATTATTACACTGTGTACAAGCCCCTAGAACATGCAGTCAGAAAAGGGTGTGCAAATGAAACCACAACTTAGTAAAAAATGGTTTTAAATATGATGTACTTAGATTTGTAATGATTACACGTGTATGGTACATGGATTTCTGAAAACATTATAACTTTACATTAAAGCACAAAAGAAGTTGACAAAAAAAAAGTTTTTTTTTCTTAAAGAAATTAACATTTAGTTTCATTATCAAAAAATACAAACCTAACATTATTATGACAAATGTAGTGAAACACATAACGATAGTGAAAATTAATGATTTCCAATACTTAATTAGGCCTGACATGGCTTGGTGGTTAGATTACTCAGCTTGCAACCTGATGGTCAGGAATTCAAATCCCCATCACACTGAACATGCTCCCTCTATTAGCATAGGGGTATTATAATGTGACTGTCAATTACATTATTCCTTGTTAAAGTAAAAACCAAGAATTTGCAGAGTGTGTTGTTGACTAGCTGCCTTCCCTCTTTTCTGTTACTGCTAAATTTGGGATGTCTAATGCAGTTAGCTCTCAAGTACCTTTGCAAGAAATCTAAAACAAACCAATATTTAATTACACTTATCAATAAAATATTTTACACTGAAAAATAAACTCTGGTAAAATTACTACTGACATAAAACACATCAAAAACAACAATACAACTTCACAATACAAAACGTGAAGCATGCATATATCATATAGAAAAAGTTACATTTCCCTATAATGACAATGTATTTCTGATAATACATTCCTCCGTTTGCATTATAGTTTTTTCATGACAAAAATTACTCTTTTCTGCTCATCTAAGCATTGGTATGAATCTTACCTCACTTGCTCCAGCCTTTATACCCCACTATATTGCCCATAGCAAGTTAAATCTTGTGATTCTCTCCACTTACTTCAATGCGGCCCTATCCCAGATCAGTATATAAGCTCCCCCATTATTAATTCTAACTCATATTTTCAAGACTGTACAACTTAACAGACCCAAACACCTGCCATCATGTGGTGGGAGAGGAGGTATTATTACAAATACATTGTTGGTATAAGATAATATTAACTTCTGAAACACTTCTCACACTATAGCTAGAATCCCACATTGACAAGGTGGAGGGGCCAGTGAGGGCAAGATCCACACAGAAAAGAGGTGTGTAAAAATGAGATATAGTAATAGCACACTAGTGGGGTCCTTACTACTTCTGGAACAGGTATGATCTTTGTCCGGAAAACATGAAATCTAATTCCTAGGCAGGAGAGGCTGACCAACCACAAAGGTAAAATATTAACACTGTGAGAAGAAAGCATCAATTTAGGGATAACTATACCAGAAACAGCCAACACCTGCAATACCAGAAGCTACTGGTCACAGTCAGTTGGCCAGCTGATGTACAGATCCCCCACACTTGATGAAATATTGTACATAACTTGCGGCCTTCCCATTCTCATCTCATCATCGGGACTATAGTGCTGTGGACCCAAAGCGAGATCCAAGGCATAATGGCTAGGGCATTAGAACCTCAGTGTTGTATTACTGGATCCCAACCTCAATGTTACAGAGTGTTGGATGTTGAGCCACTGAAATTACGAAGAGAAGGCAAGCAACACAAAAGTGGAGAAACCTTCACCCAAACCCAAAAAGCACAAGATGCAACAAACCAAACTTGGAATTATGGGACCTTTCTCATCTCACTCAACCTGAAGAAATAGAGATTAGCCATCCTAGGATTATGAACACAAATCCTAACTCTCCAGCCTAAGAGACAAGGCAACACCTCCAATCAATGGCACAGGAATCGACTCTCCATGTGCAAAATTACAAGGAAGGCCATCTTCCATGATCATCAAAATGAAGATAATGACCAAAATGAAGGGCCTCGCTCAACTCAACCAGATAACTAAGCGTCATCTCTGAACCAGAAATATGAGGAGGCTCCCACATAGGCTGGTTCTGTTTCCACCATACATCTGGGAAAACCATCCAGGGATATTCATAAGAGGGCACCCAGCTTTGCTCTCTTTTCCTTGAGTGGAATAATGAGTTCAAGCATCACTGAGGAGGAATAGACCTCTGTTCATCACTCAGGCAACTGAAAACTGGGAGTGATAAAGACTCCCATGCTCCATTAGGAGAGAAGAGGGGATAACTCATGTTGAGGAGTCCTGAGGAATGATGCTCCGGAAATAGTGCAATAGGCAAACCATGTTCCCTATTTTGAAAAGCAAACCAACCCCAATTTATTCAATCCATAGGTCAGCAGGAATGAGCAAATCCCCTTATGCTATACTCATGATAGTCCATGAGTGGTGGTCCAGTAGTGTATATAAAATTGTTTTCCATCCAGAAAGCCACAAGGTGGTCTTATACAACACCCCATCTCACCAGAGCTACCAGGAACATTTTTTATCGGTCTACTGGTAGCTAGAGCAGATTTGGAAAGAAGCACACCTGATCAGGCAACACTCACCACTGAGAGGGAAATGATGTGAGGGTCCCTTGAAAAGAATACAAATAAACACAAAAGAAATGAAGTCACTCACCAATCTCACAATGTAACTAGTGCATTGAGAATAGCGGGGGGGGG